GTGCTGCTGGGGGGGAGGAGGTAGAGAAACCGGGAACAAAACCTTTGGGCCTGGGAAGAAGGGAGGCGGGGGAGTGGTGTCTTTTCAAGATGGAGTTCTCTTTCTCATTATCTTATTCTGGTTTTGATTGTTAACAAATTAAATTGTTTTTGTGTTTTCCCCAAGTTGAGTATGTTTCTTGCCCATGACCATAAGTGGGGATTGAACCCTGCCTGTCCTTGCCTCACCCCACGAGAGTTTTACCTTTTGATCTTCCAATGCTCCTTCCCATCCCACCAGCGGGAAGGAGAGAGCAAGAGGCTGCGTGCTGCTTAGTTGCCGAGTGGCCTTTTAAGGGAGATGAGGGTTACATCAGTCATCCCGATAGGGACCAGGCTTTTGCCCCACCTTTGCAGCCCACTCTTTCATTCTGTCCTACGTTCAACTTTTTGTCCAACCCATCAGCTTCCTCCCTTGCTCCAGAGCCTGTTCCCACACCCTGGGGGTCGATCTCCCGTGAGGTTGTTGCCCCAGCCTTGATTTTACCCGCAGACTGTTTCCAGTGGGCGTTTGGAGGGAACAAGGGGATCCAGGCTGTTTCCCAGTTCCTTTAGCACCTCACCAACAGCGTCTGTGACTCTGGGCAATAGGACGGAGATCATGAGGTGATGGGCCAGAGGGTCACAAAAACATACAACTGCATCGCCCCGGCTTAAGGAGCACAGGGCTCCTTCTCCAGTGCAGAAAGCAGGGTCTGTATCTTCACCTTCCCACCAGATGTCTTTGGGGCCATGAATATCTAACAACTCTTCAGAGCCTTGACAGTGGGGACCACCCTTGTGCTGCCCATCCCTGCAGCACTTGTGACACAAGGGGCTTTGGTGCACTCTGTCACTGGGACCTTTGATGAGCCCCTCAGCTCCTGCAGGTCTCCGCTGATTTATCATCTGCCGCATCATGGGGCTTGTCCACGGACAGGAACAAAGCTGAGGTACAACCACCAGCCCCTGGGAGCTGGTCAGGCCTGGAGAGAAAGCCCTGATAGCATCTCTGAGTTGTTGCCTTTAGGCTCCTCCATGGTGGGAGGATGGAGCTGCCCTGGGCTGAGCACAAGCACACCCACATGTGTTGCATCCTCTCTCATTTAAGGGAAGCCCATGGAGTCAGCAGCAATGGTGAAGCCTTCCCTGGTGAAGGTCCACTGCTGCTGGTGGCAGTTTCCAACTACAGCAAAGCAATCTGCAGTTGCCCAAAACCACACCTCAATACAAGGTGCACTCCTTCATATGAATTTTTGGTTTCTCCAGCTTCATTTCAGCCCACATAGGACATTGTAAGCCTGCTTCAGGCTCCTCAGCACTGTCAGCAAAAGCGGCTTTTCCTCCCCCAGAATGAGTGGGAGGTGGGATCCATCTCACAGTGTTAGGTATCTCCAAGTCATAGACGAGTTTGCCACCTGGGAATGTGCTGCAAGAAGGCGTGGGGATAAGCACAGTCATGGACCGATCCCACCAACGTGCCTGCGTCGTCTCCTGCAGGATGTGGTGAACCATCTTCTCCAAAGTGCTTGCAACTCCCCACAGCCTAAAAGGAGGGGGAGACAATGCCTCAAACACAGACATTTGGTGCTGACACACACACAGACAACTCCCGCTGGAGTAACTTTATTTTGTACATTTAAAAAGTAATCCCTGTTGAGGGGGTGTCTTTTCAGTGGAAGTGTTTTCAACAGGTAAAGAGCAAGGATGAAATGCAACAGTCGCGGGTTGCCACTGGGGAAATGAGCGACTCCAGAGCCACGGAGATGGTCTGAGGCTGGAGCAGCTCCCGTGCGAGGACAGGCTGAGAGAGTTGGGGGTGTGCAGCCTGGAGAAGAGAAGGCTCCGGGGAGACCTTCCAGCACCTCCCAGTGCTGAAAGGGAGCTCCAGGAGAGCTGGGGGGGCTCTGGATCAGGGGGTGCAGGGACAGGCCGAGGGGGAACGGTTTGAAGCTGCAAGAGGGGAGATGGAGATGAGATGTGAGGAAGAAATGTTTTCCTGTGCGGGGGGTGAGGCAGTGGCCCAGGGTGCCCAGAGAAGCTGTGGATGCCCCATCCCTGGAGGGGTTCAAGGCCAGGCTGGATGAGGCTTTGGGCAACCTGGGCTAGGGGGAGGTGTCCCTGCCCATGGCAGGGGGTGGCACTGGGTGGGCTTTAAGGTCCCTTCCCACCCAAACCGTTCTATGAGTTCATAATTCTTTGAAACTCTGACCAAACACAGAGGGCTCATTCTTCCCCTTGAGATAGGTGCATCACTGGGACAGATGTCCAGAGAGGCAAAAAGATCTCCACCCTTGCAGTGGAGCTGAACAAAGTCCAAAGACACCTCAGACAGTGTTGAGGTTAGCCCTGCTGTGAGCAGGTGTTTGCAACAGAAACCTCTACAAGTTCCTTCCAACAGAAATCTGAGATTCTGAACCAATGAGGTTCCCTAAAAAAGCCTTACTCCCTCCCCTTCATCAGGGCCACATTTTGAGCCATGTCCCAGGACCCAGCCAGACCCAAGGGTGGACTCTTATCCCCTGAAATGTTGCCAGTGGAAATGTGAAGATGGGAATCTCCTCATCAACACTGAAAAATGCCACCCGTCCCTCTTCATAATCCAGAGAGACCCGGATCCACTTGGGAACCTGGATTTCAGGAAGGAGAGTGTGATTAGGGGATGTGAGAGCTCGGAACTGCCCTGCCCACTGCCCCACTGCCCAGATGCCCTCCTCTGGTTTAAACTCCAGGTCACCCTTCCTTTTCACATCTTCCCTACAGACCCCCACAGTCCATCCTCCTCCATCCTCCACCTCCACCTCCCAGTAGTATCTCCCCGAGGTGAAGCCTTTGCAGCCCAGCACGCAGCGCCATGGGTTAAATCTCTCGGGAATGTCAGCCAGGTCCTGCCGCCTGTCTTCTCGTTTCACACTTCTGCAGTCATCAGACAGGACAAGGTCACTGTGGGCCGTGTCCGGATCCAGAACCACCGTTGCTGCAGGAGAGATGGAGTCAACACATCAGAGCTCACCCCAGGAGAGATCTTTAAGGACAAGGAAAAAGCAAAAGGGCACAGGCAACAGCTGGCAGACTGTGGCACGGGAAGCTGTACAAGGTGCAAGGAACAGAAAGTGTAGCAGGGATATGACATCAAGCAGAGAGCGAAGAGGATTGTCAGCAGACCTCCAGGCTGAAAAAGTCCCCATGTCTCTAAACACAGCCAGCACTGCTCACTGAGGAGTAGGACTCTCCAGATTCACCTGAAACTGGGACACGCACCAAACAAACAAGGGGACTGAGTGTTACACTTCCTCCTGTAAAGCCAGGGTTGACAGAAGCATCCCTGGTCCCACCAGCATCACTGCAAGAAGGGAACAACCAGGAAGGGAGATTAAAGCAGGGAAGATGATTCAGCACCCTGAAAGACCAAACTTTAATTACCTTCTTCTATAGGAACTGCGTATCTTCTCCATGCTTTAAAAAAAAAAAAAAAAAAAACACAACCACGGATGAGAGGTAATCTGAACACACTTGTACTGGACTAGCTCAGGATAATGATATGCCAGCATAGCTGCCCATTTTCTGAATTGGTGCTGTATTTATGAAAGTCATCTCACAGCGTGTAGCTTCAGAACTTCAATGTCTAGCTACATGAAAGGGCCCCATCCATCTTCCACAAATGTAATCATGCTGCCTGTCCTGATTCAGATGCGTACTTATGGGCTGTTAGTACTTTCTGTGAAAACTGAGAGCATTTTCTTCTCAATATAGAAGGATTACAGGGCATAGAGACCAAACGAAAAGAACATTTCTGAGATGAGCTCAGTATCTGCTACCTCTTCCTTTCCCAAAAGGAAAACCAAAACCAGGGCACAGTGCAAAACACAGATGAGAAAATGGCCCCACTTGAAAGTCTCCCACATAGGAAGGGGAACGATACTCACCAAGTTCTTCAGCTTGCTTTTCTGAAAAACAAGATAAAACAGCACAAATGGGTTGTGGGATCTTGGTTGGTATATAACCTCTCCCATAATGACATTGCAGGAAGGTGGGTTTCTGCCAACGCTTGGCAATGCAAAGCCCTCTCCCACCCCAGGCCTGAAGCTCTGCTCTGCAGGCGATGGTGCAGGTTTTCCTGCTCAACTCAGGCAGGAAAAGGCCTCTGGGATGTCCCTTGCCTACAAGGGGACCTGCAACACAGCATTTCCACCAAATCACCGTGCCAGCAGCGAGCGTGCGTGGGGCACTGTCACCCTGCCTGTGCTGCCACTGCAGTCATCCATCCCCAACCCTACACACCATCTTCAATGACCTTCAATTTTTTATTCTCAAATTCACTCTCTCCCTTTCTCCCAAGACCCAACCACATTTTAGTTCACTTCCCACTTGAAAAGTGAAAAAGAAAAAAAAAAAAACACCACCCTATACAGACTCTGTGAAAACTCCGTTGTAAGAGGAAGAGAAGACTCACCAATTTCTGCATTATGTTCCCCTGAACAACAAACAGAAACACACGGGTTACTTTCTGACACAGTTCCTTCCCTGGGATCCCAAGTGAGGGAGGTGAGGAGAGGCTGTGATGAAGGCGGCAGATGTGCTGATTGTACTCTGATTGCAAGGGCACTCAGGATTCCTGAGTGAGCTGACCTGTATTTATTTTCCTCATCAATCTGCATTGGCACCAATTTAGCATTTTTAATAGCCAAAGAACTATCTCATGGCAATTCCATGAGCTACAAGCAAGCAAAAAAACCAAACAAAAATACATGCCCTCCTCAAGCGTTGGTTTGTTGTTTGGGTTTTTTTAAAAAAAAAAAAAAATTTCTTGGTGTTGTGGTTTAGGCCCTGGCAGCAATGAAAGCACCACGCAGCTGCTCACTCACTCCTCTCCTCACCAGGGAGATGGGAAGGAGAATTGGAAGAACAAAAGATAAAACCTAATGACTTGAGATAAAGACACTTTTAAAGTCCAACACAAGAAGAGAAGAAATAATAATGATAACAGTAATACAAATAAGATACTAGTTTATGTAATACCTTATTAGTATAGTATAATACAATTAGTATAGTATAATACTAATATATATTATAACACGTGATGCACAATACCATTGCTCACCACCCAGAACCTGATGCTCAGCCCACTTGGAGCCACAAATACCTCCCCTCCCCCGGCCAGTTCTCCCAGTTATATACCGAGCGTGGTATCGAATATCCCCTGGGCTAGCTCGGGTCAGCTGCTCTCGCTGTGCCCCCTTCCAGCTCCTTGTGAAAATTAACCCTATCCCAGCTGAACCCAGGACACTTGGTAATCAAGCAATCTACATTTTTATAAGAAAATTCTCAACAGCTTAGGTTTCTGTAATCTCCCCCTAAAGCCCAGTAACTTTTTGGTATGATTTCACTACTTAAATTGACGGTGTTAAAAAAGCATTGACATCCACTCAGGGAAAAAAATCCTAATGGCTTTTCAGAGTGAATTTTCGTATTACCAGGGGGTCAAGGGAGGGGGGAGTAAAGTATCTGCCTAAAAAGAACATTGGGACAGAATGAGAGGATGAATAAAAAAGTCAGAACGTTTTCACCAAGGATTTCACCAGGAAGATGGGGAGCGGGACTTACGCAGTGCTGCCTCTTGCATCGCTGAAAACCAAAAGCAGAAAAGAGTATCACCACCAAAGCCAAACCCTTTTTCACCGATACACATGTTGGGGTGGGAAGGAGGTTAAAATTGCTCACAATGGAGAAGCTTCAGCCCAGGAGCTCCTCAAGAACTTTCTTCTCAAGACTTTAGGAGATCTTGCCCACTCTCCCTGAACCCACCTTGGGAAGAGGCCAGTGCTGTGTTGCTGGAGACCAGAGCAAGGGCTCCATCTCCGGGCAGCAAAAGGGCAGGTTTGCATCACCAAGGGAGGAGTATGGGGTTAAATTTCTCCTTCAGTGCTACCTAACCATGCTGGCCCCGTTGGTTTTTAGTGCTGAGGCAAAGCTGAGGCCCCCACAAAATGAAATGTGCTACCCCAAGTCTTCCTCCAGCTTTGGGAAGAACCTTGACAGCCCTTTGAAAAGTAAAGTTCGCTGTTGGTACAACAGTGGTTCACCCCTTCTTTGGTTCTGCTATGATCTTCCTTAAAATTACAACATCATTTCATAATTTTATCTTCTCATAAATTAATTTCACAATTTTCTATAGCCACTAGCCAAACCATTCCCCTCCCCACATCCCCCAGAAATGTGCCACATGAATTCTTCCATTTGAGGGAATTCTCCAATTTCTGGAAAATGGAAAGTATAGCTTACCTATTTTTTTCTCTTGCTTTCCTTTGAAAGAAAAAAAGAAATCTAAATATCTTTTTTAAAAAGTCACTTATTCCAAAGAGCGCAGATTAAACCCCAGCAGAAGTTACAGCCACTTGCACGGCAGAACGGCCACGGGGTCTGGACGTGCTGCGGTGCCTGAAACCACTGCCTCCATCTCCTTTTGGTACGAAATAGAGGATTTCTG